GGGGGGGGTACACATGTAAACGCATGCCGTAGTCGTTGGACTGTCGACCTCGCATTCCTACAAATGCCGGGACGGAGCGATATGCCGGGTTTTCACCGGCCCAGGCTACGCTTCACAGGGCCTGGTGGTGGTTCATGGAGAGATAACCGTACGGTGGAGGGGATAACCGTACGGTGTGTGCAGCGCGCACAGCAGGTTCGCAGTTTGTGGGGGAGCTAAACCGTATTGTACATGTGTAGCAGGTAGCAGGTCTGAGGAGTAGGCTGTGGCCGGGGGAAGGCATTTCTGTGGTTTTATTGGTGCTTTTTTACTGCACCGTACAAGTAAAATCAGAGGTGCGGGGGTGGAGAGCCCGGAACGGTTGGTTAATGAAAGGGCGAACAGCAAATAGCAATAGCAGCAGCAATAGCAGCAGCAGCAGCAGCAGCAGCAGCAGTAGCAGCAGCAGCAGCGACAATCAAGAACGTTTTCCTTTGCAGTCGCTGCGGCATGCACTCATGTACTCGTCAAGCATAGTATTTCCACCCATGCCTGATAGCGACACCAGTTTTGTTACTTGGATGAAATATCCTGACACGCTCAAAAGAGACGGGCTCTACCAACGGTTTGGGAGGCCAGCATTCACTCCCACCGACATCCGCCACCCGTTTTCCGATCCTGTCCCTCTCTGCCTGCCATTTCCGATCTGAACCGCAACATTGGAACATACGCTTTCCGGCCCTTCTCCCCCATTTTTCGATCTCTACCGCAATATCGGATGGACCGCACGAAAGGTGTGATGATTCTGCGGGGTGCGGGGACAACGGGACGTTCACCACCTCCGCGGAGTACACGGTCAAGGGCTTGCTCGTCACTGGAAGGTACGCCTGTAAGTGGCGGTCGGATTTTGGTGTCGTGTGCCAGAGCTGGCCGACGCTGACGGTAACTGTTTGATGCGCTTGTCCTTGCCGCTGCTGCCGCTGGTGCTGCTGGGTACCGACACGCTTCCGCTTTTTGGTGGGTGGTCACAATGGCCAAGGTCGGTGGGAAGTCCACAAGTTGCACACGGGGACGCCTGAATCGTGGCGAAGATTGATGGGATGTTGGTATGCAGCGGTGACAACCGGAGGTTCCACACGAGGCCGTTCTGAATGCTTCATGCCTATACACGTCACGGTGGCGTGTTCGATTCTTCGGCCGTTTGTGTCCAAGTTGTTTGCTTTCCGGTTTTTGACGCCCCCCCCCATTTTTGCCATCCGGGTTGGGTTTTCGTCGTTTGGCAGCGATGTTGTGTAACAGGCCCATCACTTCGTGAGCCCGGCAACTAGGTTACCTTTTTTTTTTGGCGGTAACCATGAGTGGTGGTCGAGTAGATCATGTTGTGCGGGGTCGAGAACCCTCACTCCGTGCAAGGGGGATAATCGCACCACGTTGCGTTAAAATGGTCAAGCACCCTCGAGGCAGTTACACAGTGCTTATAACTGTCTCTGGAAGTGAAGCACCAGAAAATAAATCAAGTCATACGCAGCTGTCATCCGCACGCAAGGAAGTAAGCACAAGATGCCGAACACCCTTAAGAGGATGCAGCGCACCCTTCGTGCGGCGACTCGCCGAATATCTCACGGCGCTTCGCGCTCGGTGATGTGAGAGCCTGGTCCGGTGAGAACCCGGCGTGCTTCGTCCCGGCTTTGTAGGGATGCGAGGTCAATGGTCTAACGACTACGGCATGCACGACCATGAGTACACCCCCCCTCCCCCTCCCCCCCGCCGCCCCGCGAATGATGTCACTCACGCACCGCAGGTGCTACGACGTCACCTCCAGCCCGCCGTCCCCGCCTCAAGGCCTGCAGCTCGTGCTCCGGCCTTCTCCGTCGACGCCATCCTCCCAAACCAACGGCGGCGGCGGCGGCGGCGGCGGCGGGGTCACAGCGGACACTGTCGTCATGGAGAACCTGGGGTACTTTCAGCTCCAGGCGTCCCCCGGGGTGTGGGACCTCGAGCTCGCGGACGGCAGGGCCTCCGAAGTTTACGAGATCATCGACGGCGGCGGACGAGGCGGCAGCGGAAGCGGCGGGGTGGTTAATTCCGCCGCCCACGCCGCGGCGTTGGAGGTGCAGCGGCGGCTGGAGAGGGAGCGGGCGGCGGAGGGGGCATCGCCGGCGACCGACAGCCAGGCCATCGTCGTGCGTAACTTCTACAGCAGGCGAGAGAGACGTCGAGGAACCGATCGAGAATCATGTCTCGCTTTTTTTTTTTTTTTTTTTGGCCTTCCGGCGGCAGGGACACCTTTTTCTGTCCCGCCGGGCTTGTTTCCCTGGTCTTGGAACATGGTACAGGGGTATGCACTCGTGTAGACGCATGCCGTTGTCGTTGGACCATTGACCTCGCATCCCTACGACGCCGGGACGGAGCGACATGCCGGGTTGCGCAGGCTACGTTTCACAAAGATGAACCGAGGGTAGACATCATCTTGGCGTTTGCTGTGCACAATCAGACATGCCGGGAGTTGATCGGGCATCCAGAAAGATAACTTTTCATCCTCATTGTTTGGCGTGAAAGGTAACTCACGTCGATTTTCGATGTCGTATGTGTCTGAAGATTGACCTTAGCTCGCCTTTGCTGTTGGAGCGCCCTGACTTTGTTCACTCGTGATTCATTCGCGGAAAGAAAGAATCTTACGGAGAGGGCGGAGCTGAAGAGGGCAACCACGTCGGGTGAATGGTCCCGTCTGAAGGTCTTTCCAACAGGTCTCTCAAGCAGTCTTTTGGTGGAGACAGGCAACATTCCTTCTGGGAGGGGGGCGATCATATTTCACTCGAGAACGAGGAAATTCAACCCTCTGCGGCGCTACAGAAGCATCCTTCTCTCTCACCGCTTTTTTACATACGCGTGCGTGCTTCTCTTTCCGACCACAACGGAACAGGTACGAGCCCGTCCTGGTGCGCAAGCGGCCTGGGATGGAAGACGTGGGCCTCCTAGATGCCGACGACGGTTTCGCCGCCTCCGCCAGCGGAGACAACGCCGCCGGCGGCAGCCCCGCCACCGCCGGCATCTGGTCTCGAGTGTCCGCGGCGACGGAAAACGTTCGGGGACTCGTGGGTCTGGCCGGGGCCGGGGAGGGGGAGGAGGAGGAGGGGGAAGCGGAGCGGCTGCACGTATTTTCCTTGGCGACGGGCCACCTGTACGAGCGGTTCCTGAAGGTGAGATTACGCGGAATCTGAGAAATACTCCAGGACGAACGGGATGAGAACCCACGTGGCGGGACCGGTTGTGTGCTGTGGGGGGGAGAGTGCACCGCGTTTGAAGGGAGTGAGGACATTGCTTTGATGGTGCTTGCTAAGCTTGAGGCAGAACAGGCACATCCTGGGGGCATCGGCGCCGCTCCTTTGGCTTGTATGATGGCACGCTTTGGGGCTTCGTTTCCGTTTCCGCTTTTTTTTTTTTTGAGTATCGACGCGTCCGTTTTTTTTTTCATGTAACGACGCGCGATTCAATGAACCCGCGGGCGCCGCAGGTGATGATGATGAGCGTGGTGAAGCGGGCCAGCATGCCCGTGACCTTCTGGTTGCTGGAGAACTTCCTGTCGTCGTCTTTCAAGGAGAGCGCCCAGGCTTTGGCGGAGGAGTTCGGGTGAGAAGGCCACGCAGAATGCGCGCGAGCGGGGCGGGGGTGTACTCATAGCCATGCATGCCGTAGTCGTTTTTTCGAGCATTGACCTCGCATCCCTACAAAGCCGGGACGGAGCACGATGGGAGGAGGATAGCGTAGGCGTGACGAGGAGGAGGAGGGGGAGGAGGCCACGGAGAATGCGCGCGAGTGTGTGTGTGTGGGGGGATTACTGGAGGCGTGAGAATCACCGCCATGTGCACGCGCAAGTTCCACTCGGGGAACTGGGATGAGTGTTGATAGGGAGCCGGGCTTGAATGTGGCGGGAAGGGATTCGAAGCCGAACTACTCATCTTTGGAACACGTTTGCGAAGGGAGATATTCTTGTGGCCCCTCCGTCCACACACGCAAAGCTGTGTGAAGAGACCAATCGGCGCCGCGGGGAAGGGGTTCAATACCGTGATTTTGTGCGATAGAGCAGGAAGTAGGGGAGGTATACAGGGAAGGAGAGGGTAACGGGGATGATTGAGGGTCAGGCGGCAAGCACAAGGGGGGGCGCCGGGCGGGGAGGAGGAAAAAGGGGAAGCAGGGGGCAACGTGACGAAGTCCTCTTGACAGACAACCAGAACCAGGTATTCCCGGGTGGTTTATCACCATTTTAGGGTTCATTTAGAACTCAACAAACGCCCCCCAGGCAGCCAGCTGATTGGCCGAAACACCATCGAACCCATTTTTGGAGAAACCTCCATCGGGTGCAACCGGCGCCGGCATCTCGACCCGCTAGTGTAACCGATACTGATTGCTGTTGTACCCGGAATGGGTCGATTTTGTACCCAGAAATGGTCATGTAATTTCGGCGCCCGACGACTCTAGCACAAAACCCGCAGAAAAACCCGTGTACCGCTCATACCGTGTACCGCACATACATACCCACAACCAAACCACCAACAACGCTCGCTCGTTGATGGGACGGCCTCCATAGGATACCGGCCCCTCTCGACAGAGGGTCGGACTCGCTTGACGCGCTTGACGCGCGAGTTCGTACGGTTTGGTGCTCATCAGTAAGAGTGCACAGCGAGAGGCACAGAGAGACAAAATGGGCGCGACCTGCCTCATGCATGATGTTTCCGAGGCACAGGACACAGCGGTTTATTGGTTTCGCCGCGATCTACGGCGGAGTCTGTCGGGGATTGGTGTCGTCTTGATTTCCAAGTGTACCCCGAAATGGTGATAATCCACCCGGGTATACCTGTTTCTGGTTACTTTTCAGAAAAGAAATGCCTGCAGAGACACAAGTTCAGATGTTCGTGGGTGGCGAGTGTGATTGCTCGTGAATTTTTCAGGTGCGTGTGTGTGTGTTTTTTTTTTTTTGTGTTTTTTTCGTTTTCCCCACAGGTTCCGAGCGTTTGTGATAGATTCTGAAAGTCTTAAGACCGCGTGTGTGTTTTTTTATATTTGTTCCGCCAACAGGTTCCGGGTGGAGTTTGTGACGTACAAGTGGCCGGAGTGGCTGCGGCGGCAGAGCGAGAAGCAGCGCATTATCTGGGGATACAAGATTCTCTTCCTCGACGTTCTCTTCCCGCTGAGCGTCGACAAGGTCATCTACGTCGACGCTGATCAGGTGCCGTGCCTTGGTCCAGGGACGTGTTCGACTTCTTTTCTTTTTCCACTAGGCGGCACCTCGACAAGGGGCCCTCCATGTGGAATTACCCCCAGGCTGCGTATCAATCTTGGTCGCGGGGGGAGGGGGTCGGGGTGTTCCGGTATTCCACGTAGTGGGCCCCTTGACCTCGGTCACCATTCTGTGGGCCCTCCCCCCCCCCCCTCCTGCCACTAACACTATCCGGTGCTGTGGTTTGATTTCGCGTGTTTTTGCGCCCCTGCCTGGAGTTAATATCTTTGCATGAAGGCGTGTCTTGATTACTGCTTTCTTGGTGTGTTTTTTGTCATCCCTGTTCTGCTGCATCGATTGCCCCCCCCCTCCTGCACCCCAATCCGGTGTTTGCCGTCGGGGTTGGGTTTTCGTCGCTTGGCAACGACGTTGTAAAACAAGCC